CTTCTCAAGCGTTCGTACGCTCTGGCGGAGCGTAGCCCGTAAAATCATAGGCCGTGTGAAGCCACCTTTATACATTTTGAATTAGGCTTTTTTCACATTTATTTATATAGAAGAACATAGTGTATCTTTAACTTTAATAAATTTAATGTCATTGTAACAGTAATGCGAAGTAAAAATAAACGACTCATGTATAAAAACTGTCTCATATTATAGCACCAACCAAAATTTTATGTGCTTGGAACAATTTAATATAATTCAACACGTGTGACGTTTCATCGGATATGGTTGTTCTTTATTACACACGCACGCACGCACGCACGCACGCACACACACACGCACGCACGCACGCACGCACGCATGCACGCACCCACGCACGCACGCACGCACGCACGCACGCAAGCACGCACGCACGCACGCACGCACGCACAGTCTGAAATTAGAATGTCTACGTATATTAGCAGTACTTCCAATATTCAATAAATATGTTCCAATTTTAGCTATAGAAAATTGGTTCTATTTCTTAAATTAAACTTTCTTCTTTTTTTTTTGTTACGATCGTAAGTCACGTTATTGTTTGGTAGTCTGACCTAATAATAATCTTTTTAGGTTTTTTTATGATATCGAGTGACGGGACAAACAAAATGTGAACCTGGTGGTAAAAACCACACTCCTATCCATAAAGCGACCCGTAAACGATCAAATAATTTGCTATTGTTTACGTGTTTGTCAAATTTTTTGATCGTCTGCAGTCGTGTTTGATGGAAATCTAGATTGACGGCGATGTTTGATAAACATGTTTGAAAGTATGCGAGCGTTTGTCAAACCATTCTTCAGTTGCCGCCTATGCGCATTTTTTTTTCTAGAAATTTTCGTGGATATGTTATTTTTATATATTTGATCTACAATTCTACTAAGGCCTACAATTTCATTATTCAACATTTCACTAAAAGCGTTGTACATTTTGACCACTCTCAGTGAATTTCATAACGACCCGTGTTCCGTTCATACTTTTAAATATCTTAAGAGACTTTAAGAGCGCTTTAATTTTAAAGACTTCGACATGAATTGCCAATCGGATTAAAACTTTGTTCCAAGGTGTGTTGGATATAAATTGAACGTTTAATATGATTATCAGGACCTGAGGCTTATCTCTCATTTTTATTCGCGTCATTTTATATTATACCTCTTAGGGCGCCTTCAAATTAGATGCTTTTAAAAGCGCTGCAGTGGCGCGAGGCGCGCGTATATTTTCCTTCACTTATTGTTGCCTGTAAAATTGGCGCGCACGTGTCACGACCGTAGCGCTGCCACTGCACTTCTAAATAGTATAATATGAAAATTAATAGTGGCGCTGCCGCTGCGCGACTGACGCGCCACGGCAGCGCTTCTATAAGCGTCTAATTTGAAGGCGCCCTCAAACTTATCGCATTTATGACGTATTTATACTAAATCTAAAGTCTCATTTAATTGCGAACGCATTGACTAACATGTAATATGTAAATAGCGTTGTTTTTGACGTAGCGAATGTGTTATGCATACAATTTATTAGTATATATTTATTCAGGCTTGTTAAGTTGGAAACGAGGATGTCGACATCCTATGTATTTTGTGACCCAGTGTTTTTGACGACGTGCATTAAAGACACCTATCAATACTCGTGATTCATTATCATACCATCAAAAAAGCTAACTGAGTATAGCATGTAGAAGCTGGGGTTATAAAGTTGATATGTGTTGTGTTTATAACGTTGTCCTGTATTTCGCTTCATAATGTTTGTTCGCAGTAGCAGAAAACAACAAGTCTTCAGTTTGTTCCCAAAAATAATAAAAAACTTACTGAATATTCCCAAATCTGCCAAACTCATACATACATATACTTCACGCCTTTTTCCCATTGGGGGTAGGCAAAGAGAACAGTCTTCCACTTGCTACGGTCCTAATACACATATTTCGCCTCATCAACACGCATCAATGCTTTCATACACGCTCGTCGGTTAAGGGTACTCTTGACCTGGTCCTTCTTTAAAATGGCCTCAATGTGGTCATGATAAGTTCGCCTTGGTCGGCCCATACCAACTTGCCCGCTCACGCTCGCCTTATACATATACATTCATTCTCTCTACATGTCCGAACCATCTATGTATCCCTTTCTCTATCGTTGTCACTATATCTTCTTCCACGCCGCAACGCTCTCTTATCACACTGTTCCGTAATTTATCCATCCGAGTCACTCCAGCCACATTCCTCAAAGCTCTCATTTCTACTGCATTAATTCTACTTTAATGCTTCTTCTGCCAAACCCGACATTCACTACCATACATAAATGTAAGAACCAGCACCCCCCATGCACAGCCAATCGTGCCTTTTTTGACACTTTCTGGCTGTCCATGAAGGTATGCAAGGCACCATTCACCTGACACCCTGCGTTAACTCTTCTTCCAATGTCTCTCTCACATTTTCCATCACACGTAAACATAGAACCCAAATACACAAACTCTTTCACTTGTTCCACTTTCTCTCCTTCAATCAATATCGTGCAATCCGTCATATCTTCCTGTCTTTCAAAAACCATTACTTTCGTCAAACTCTACCACATTTAGTACAATGTTAACATGTTCTGCCTCAGCTTTCTTACCTCTCATTTAAATACTGTCTAAACATTTTTGTCACATAGTCTTTTAGTTTTTACTTTATGTTATTACTGTTTAATTGATTAGGTATTTCATAGCTTTAATGTTTTATGTGTGTACTATAAAATAACCAATACTTTAGGCAGGTAGACAATCATTCATGCTTAAAATGAAACGTATGTACACTCAAGAGCACATCAAGCTTGATACTTTCGATACCTCCAATAAACACTAAGCCAACTTTATTTTTTGGTCATCATCTGTTATTTTTGTAAACAGCCATAGTTATTTACTAATAATATTCTCCGAGAACTTTTTTTTTTTTTTTAAAACATATTTGTGAAATAAAAAATTAAGAAACAAAAAACAAAACACGTCCAAAAATTAAGTTGGCGTAGTGTTAATTGGAGGTAGCGCTTTGTACTTTCGAGCTTATCGTAAGCATCATAGAGTTAGATTTAAGTGTTAAGTGTCAAGCTTGACGTGTTCTTGACCCTGTACAAGAACGTTACCTAATCTATCGTCGAATTGAATCAATTGCGTTGAGTTCTTGCATTTATTCTAAAATACATTGTTTTGCAATTTCTTTATTCCCGACTTCTAAAAATATACAAAAATATATTGATAACTAGGCATAAACGAACTAAAAAATAAAACATAAAATTATACTAGCAAAGTCCATCAACGGCTCTACGTTAATTTTAATTATTATTAGTTCAGTTTTCGCCATCCTTCTTTGCCTACCAATGAAAAAGAAACATAAATAATAATTTTGAGAGGCCTTACATTTTTTGAGGCTTTAGATGAACTGGCCTACAATAGCGTTAGGTAATTAATTAGTTCAAAAAGATAACAATACCCTGAATTAAAATGAAGGAAAATTAAATTATTTTCTTACCTTGTAGCTGTAGAACACCTTGTGATAGGGTTCATCAAGGAAAATACTGCTAAGTAATAAGAACATTACGGTATTCCAATTTTCAGGGCTAAGGGTACTTAACATATGGATGTTTTTTTTTTCAAACAAACCAGCGTCTCGTGGTCACGGTTGATTAAGATCGTAAAGTCATCTATTAGTTATTTTTAATATTAATAAGGTACTCAATACTTTATTATACTTTATTATACATATCATAATGTTGTATACACGGTGGTAGCTAACATGAATTAAGATCATTATGATTTGATCGTAATACCTACCTACCAGTCAACCGTGATCTGTAAAGGGCCCGAAAAATCGGTTCGTTTGATATAACAAATATACACGATTTAGTTCCGAATATTTTATAATGTTAGAATATACAAGCGGAAATTCGTCATATTTTTTTGTTTTTCATTTTATTGTATGTCCTTTTGTATGCACACACTTCCCTAAAGGCCACGTCAAGTTTATATGTAGTGTACTTTATATAGGTAATTCAGGTTTTTATTTTCAAATGCGATAGCACTCCCTGGACAGTATCAACGCCCTCAATTGCTTCCAAGGCCCTTACAGCCCACACAGAACTCTTCAACGCCCACTTGGGGGCGACAGAGACCACTTCGGGAAACTATATCCTAGATTGTCGTCATGTATACGTAGTCAATTAGCAAGACCAGATCGCAATATGACCTTATGTAATCGATTACAATTCTACACATTTCAGATTTGGCGATCAGAAAGTAGCTTTCATTCCAACGAAGAACAACTATTACAAGAACCAGATGGCCACTGCTGCTACAAATTACAAGGTAAATCGTCTAAGACAGGCATTTAAAGAATATATTTATTTTTTACTACATATAATTATTGCCTCTCGCAATGTGGTAAATACGCGGTATCATACTGAACTGACTACAGGTGACGATGGTTACATTTAGTCTGAGATTGAAAATAATAGTTATAACATTTTAATAACAAAAACCGATCTCAAGAGTTTGTGAAATTACGTCTATTTGCCAAGTTTTATAGAAATCGGTTAACGATAAATGGATGAGATCCAATAATCCAGATTTATCCCCTAATTTGCCACCCTTATAGGTGGAATAATTTCTTCAAATTTGAACGGAATCACTACTGACGTATTTGCCTTTCCAACAAAAATAATGATTGAAATCGGTTCAGAAATGTCGGAGTAATCGTATAATATACACACACAAAAAACAGTCGAATTAAGAACCTTCTCCTTTTTTTTTTTACTTAGACTAAGCAAAAATGGTGAGTTAAGCAAATTGTTCATATTTACAAAACTAACTTTGCCTACTTAGACAATTTTTGTCACGAAGCAAACTCAAAGTTTAATTTCTTGCTTAAACTTAGTCAGAGTCCGTTTTATACATTTCGGCCTAAAATTGAGTCCATTCAAACACCCTAACAAAAGGAAAAGATTGACGACAAAGCCGGAAGGTTCTCATTTAGCTATGTTTTGTATGAAACCTAATATCTCTTCACAAAGACAAATGATAGAACGGGAAACATAGTACAGACAACGGAAACTTGACATTCAAAAGTGTTCTCTAAATTTTAAAACAATTTTTGCACTTAATTATATAACATTTAAAAGAGTGCATCGTAGCGATAATACGTCATGCTTTATTTTCATTGTATACATCTTCAAAATATACGAGAATGTGCTTAAAGACAAAATGTATCATATAGATATACCCCTATATATGATAGACCCCTTCAAAATGTATCATTTAGAGATAAAGCAATAAATTGCAATAAAATACTAACAGAGTGACAAAACTCACCTTGAACCTTATATAGACAATTGGACTACGGAATAATCAGAAAAAAATAAAATGTAGCTAGAAAGAGAGTTCATAACGTAATCATAGACCGATAATTGAAGAAGACTGCTAATCGCGGTGCAAAACAGCGTAGTCGGGTACCTTTAGTACCTTTAGTACCTATTGGTCCAGCAGATGTGCGATGAGTACTAAATAGCTATATCTGTAAGTAATTTGTAAATAATTGACGAACTACAATTCATCAAAACTACTCTAACTTCTAGTGATAAGAAACAAATCAACTAGATGGAGTTTATTACACAGATTTTTATGGATACTGCCAGCATTCTTTTATTTTGTTTAAAATTAGCGCCATCAACCCATACTTACAAGGATTAATTTATAAATTAGTTTCAAACACACAATGCTATTGACACGCAAATTTGTCGAAGTCAGAAAATGTTTTTGCTCAAAGTCAATATTTGAATAATTACAAAGAAAAATACTGACTACTTACGTTTCATATTAAAAATTAATTAATTGACATCCATGCATCCATTTACATAGTATAAACTAATTCCAGGCTATCAATCAACGCTATCTAGATATAAAACGGAATTTTGACCTTTTTCAGAGTTACGACCTATAGTATGGAGATTAGTAGTCCTCTTGAGTCCTCTATTTGTACACGGTATAATATACACAATCATTCATTCAATATTTTTGTGAAATAACAATGATTTATATTTTGTACTCAGTAAATTAAATCTGAAAATGCTAATATTTTTAATCTGTTATGCAAACACCAACTACACTACGTGCCGTATGTGCAACATAAGTACAGTCTTCTATTTTCTCAATGTCACTCGGCAAACTTCGTGCTTCGGCTGTCGTCGGGTTTTATTCAATTGCCCTTTGCCTTTGCTACGGGCCATACGCTTTACGACTTGGAATTACATAGAGTTGCTATAAAATTTTTTACTTATTACAATTATTATTATAATTTTTATTATTTACAGTTTTAAAACAAATACCTGTTCGAGCAGCGCAGAAAGTGATTATTCCATCGATGGCGAACATACTAACATGACATCTGACATACTATGTCAGATGAAGAAGTGCGTTCAGATACGGACTGAGTTGAAATGATTAATAACCGGAAAAATATTCATTTTTAGTTATATAAAAGAAGCACACTTTATTTACTTTATTTTTTTAACTTACATAATGTCATGGAGTAAATGTTATTAAAAATAGGGATATAGTTTTACAGCTCTATATAGTTCACACGGAAATCAAAATGAAACGACAATAAAGTACGTTGTTCAAAATTTAAATCATTATAGATTTTTAAATCTAATAAATAATGGGCATGGAAATTAATATTCGTGTGCATTCGGAAATTCGATGATTGCCGAGGGTCATTGAGAAAATAGATAAAACGTCACCGTATTCACGTATTCCCTTTTTTTATCGACTTAGTCACTTTTTAAATAAAAACTCTGCGAATATTAGATTAAGGACATTAGTCAATAAATACGTAAAATGTTCACGAGTGGTAAGTGCATATTGTCTAGTTTGTTTACCTGCAGATACCAAACATAATTTTCAAGACTTAAAAAGCTTCATTTAAGTAAAATAATATCCATTATGATTAATTTTAAACATAGGAAATGAAACTATTTTTCCGGATTTAAATCGCGTATATTTGTTTTTCCAAACAAACCGACTTTTCGGGCCCTTTACAGGTCCCATGGTCACGGTTGACTGAGGTGGTACAGTCTTCAACCAGTTATGTCTAATATTGATGCGAAACGTCGGTTTGTTTGAAAAAACAAATATACGCGATTTAAATCCGAAAAATATTTTCATTTCCTATGTGTAACAATCGCGAAAACCTAAGAACTTAATTTTAAACACTTTCTGAAAAGTAATTCGATTCCATATTATCTCATGTGTATCTACATTATATCCATCATCAAGTACACGCAACTAATTATTTTAAACCAAATTTTTGTTTAGGTATTCCAGAAGATTCCAGCATCTTCGATGATTCTGAGCAACTACGATCCGTTCTACTCACCTCTCTTATCTAGATTGGATGGCATATTCGCCAGACTTGGTAAGTTTAAAGAACCTTTATCTTCAAAGCATCGTACGGCATTCATGACCTCTGATATTTCAGGTCTACTTAAAAATCATTAGTCTTTGGAAACCATTCATTATTTAAAACGATTTATCAGGAACCTACAGAGATACAGGGCAGAGTTTAGATAACAGTATTGATTTATCTATAACCAAACATGTAAGTATACAGAAAATATTGTGTTACGTACCCTTTTGGATGGTAGTTTTCATAATCATAATTTAAAAAACACTTTTAGTTGTTTAAAACAGTAAAATGTTTCAATAAAATAATGTACTCATATACTAATAATTGCTATGGTAAGAACCATAGATAAGAACAAAGGGATAATATTTCTTTGTCATTAATCGAGACCAATGAAAACATCTGCTAATTTAGACAATTTAGCTCATTTCATAACTTTTTGATATATTGATGTTGCCGTGTTGATAATTTAAATAAATAAAAAATAACGTACCTACACACTCAACATAGACCCCCCACTAAGCAAAACCCTGTGTCGCGGATGCCCTGGGCACACACATAGACGATCACAAATTACACCCAAACACACGAGAGAAATAAATGTAGACCATACAAATATTTCTCCCGGCCCGGGAATGGAACCTGGGACCTCTGCGTGGCAATCCGGCATGGTAACCGTTCGGCCACGGCGGCAGTTAATTGTATTCAAATGATTGGGTTCAACAGTAATCAACCGTTTAATGAACCGTAGTCAACAGGTCACTATAAAGGGTTTTAAGTATCAATAAAATTAGGCGTACCCCGAGGTTCTCGTTTGGGACCGTCGTTTTTCAACGACGCCGACGTTCCCGTTTTGAAATCCCCGTCTCAGCTAGTATACAAAATAAATGGTTTAAACGAATAATGCATTTTTTCGTCCTCTAAAGCTCTGTAACAATAGTACTATTTAGTCTTGAACTTTTCAAACCAATCATCCGTCTTGCCCTAATGTAATTCAATTTCGATAATGGAACTTCTCCAGCGGTCTCCGCGCCGCGAACCGACACGTGCCGAACCTACTTATATTGTTGTGAAATCTTTCCCAAATCCAGAGCGTAAATGTGCTGCGAGTTACCTGAAGAGAATAATTGTATACTTAAGTAAGCTTTAGAATGCTAAACTTCTGATTAATGTTTTTTGTGGTATTACTTTTTCTACTATCTTGCTTGCAACAGATCGACACGTATTTCACGACAAAAATAAATATTTTGTCGTGAAATACGATATAATAATTAGAAGACTTCGTAAAGTTTATTTGTCTTTTGTAGGGCACTATACACAATGTTACATTAATATTCCAGAAATTCTGCAAAAATTATCAGAAAGAAATCAAAGGTCATTTTAAAGAACTAGCAATAAGGAGAGCTTATAGAGACTTGATTACATAAATAAAACGAACACTTCATAAACTTCCAGCTATTGAATATTTGCGATGTTATATTAAAAAAAAATCTCTAGGTAATCTATGCGTACAAATGAGAATTAATTATTTTGACTGACGTGACGATTTCTAGAGTAAGTTACCTATATTGACCTGTTGTTGGTAGGTCAATGGTTACCTACGAAATAAAGATATTTGTGATTGTGATGTGGTATGACAAACCGAATTTAAATTTAGAACTAAACACATAAACTTAATAGTCTCATGTAAATATAAATTGTAATATATGTTGAAAAAAGGAGCTAATAGTTTAACTTTAGATTACAGTACCGGAACGCTATGATGGTCGTTTTGACAGATTACAAAAGTGAGGTCAAATCTCAATTCATTATCGTAAAAAATATAATCAAATGGGATTCGCATCTCTAAGTTTTTAAATTTATAACTAGTATTGCAAGAGGTAGCTGATTAACAAGTTTTAATAAAACGAAAATAAAAATGTTTACTTAATATATCGTCAATTCGAAACTGCTTTGTTTTGCATTGAGCTTTGACGCGAGTTTGTCGGAGGTAGAAGTTGTGCTGGCCAGCGATCCTATAAGTGAAGATCGTATTAGAGTTCATTTTTAAAGATTTCGAATTTCGAAAAACAAGTGCCGAATTCTGTCGTAAAATTATACATTCCATAAATTTGACTGCATGTCACTATTGACAACAATGTACAGCAATTAGCTCCTTCAAGGTAGTTATGAATTAATAAGCGGACAAACGTCGAAACGGCCATCATAGCGTGCCGGTGCTTTAATATACTTTAGTAGTGTAACCGTACTTCACTTCACTTAAAGTTAATAATATCGTGTAAATATCAACTCTAATACAGGTTAAGCAAAGGAGCTAACAGTGTAACCCTACGGTTACATTGATAGTGTACCTGAAAGTTACTTTATATAGAGTTATAGTTAGCTAAATATTATTTGCACCGATTCGTCTTATCGCTTCATCTTTAGCGGTCTCGGTAAAGCACGGGCCATGTATATAGTGCATAATTTGTGAATTGCCTATACAAACTACACTACATATATATATATATATTTAGTACTACTAGTGTCGTTATAATACTGAGGATGGTAAGCTACATACCTGTCCATAACACTTGCAGTGCCACTCAGAGCTTTAAATCGCAAAGATCTGATAGGCACTGCCACTGCGCCCGTCACCCTAAGACAAAAGTTAACAAGTCCCAAGTGCCTGTAATTTCACCAGCACCTTACCCTTCAAAACACGAACACAGTAATGCTGACATTACTGCTTGGCGGCAGAAAAAGGTAAGGTGGGCCAGTACTTCCCTGGACGAACTCTTTCACAAGGAGCTCCATTGCTCTACTACTATTATAAGTATCGTGTAAATATCAATTCTAATACAGGTTAAATAACAAGGAGCAATTCTAATGGGAAAAAATATCATATTTTTGTTACACCTCCGTATAACCCACTTTGCATAAGAGACTGCTTTAACCGTATAAAATCAATTGAATTATGCTTAAACCAATTTTGTAAATTTTCACGTCAACCTAACCACCATTATAGAATTGTAATGTACATAAATGTACATTCGAAGCCAAAGTGCTTTTTAACAAATTGTATTGTAACATCAAAGCGCTTTAAGCGTCAATATATTCGAGCAAATTGGCCTATAAATAAAAGTTTCAAACGTGATCCGTTTAACTAATTTGGCCCTCCACAGATCGTCCAATCTGTTATTAATTTTGGAACGTCCTTGTTCAGTACTATTACCGTTTCGTAACAAGCTTATAGAAATAATTGCGTGTGTCTCCAATCTTATATTTGTTTTGAAATATGTTGCTCTCAAATAGAAACTTGTTTATCTAGTAACTGTGTGACTTTTTTTACGTTATCAGGTAACGGGATGAACGAGTCGTGAGCCTGGTGCTAAGCGATACGCTTGTCCATAATAATTGCAGTGCAACTCAGAGATTTAAATCACAAAGATCTGAGGGGCACTGCCACTGCGCCCGTTACACTTGGACATAAGTTGACAAGTCCCATGTGCCTGGAATGTCACCAGCACCTTTATACTTGAACGCAGTAATGTTCACATTACGGTTTGGTGGCAGAAATAGGTAAGGTACTTCCCTGAACGAACTCTATCACAAGGAGCTCTACTGCTACTAAACTATCGCATATACTGCACGTTTCTAATGAAATTGACAAATATCATAAATACCATATAGTAGGTCCTTAAGATATGACACACTGTAATAATATCATAAGCAAATAAGGGCACAGTATAAATAAAAACAATCTCTAAAACAAATATTCTTAAAAACTTAAACATGCTAGCTAATATCCAATGACACTTAACTACTAGTTGCTTTATTTCTTTAGACAGCTATATGTATTATATTACATAATAATATGTTTATTATAATCAGTGATCGGAATTGATGAAGTTAATCTATCTAAATTATGAACGTTTTCTTAATATGGACATATCCATTTCGTCATCAATGCATGTAAAATTTCCTTTATAACTGTTTACTGTTTATTTTCTAAACATTCCAAAATATACGTTGTCTCATGACTAAATGACTTAAATGAATGAAGTATTTAGGTACGTAAGAACCTATAGAAACACAACTACAATATTATTTTTGAGACAGTAATTTATAGCAAATACATAATATAATATAAATATACAGGAAATAATAATTTGTCGCCAATGTACTCAAATTTTAAGAAATAATACACATATTCGAATATAATTAGTTCCGAGAAGTCCCGGGAATTGTAGAAGGGATGTCCACGTTATTCTTTAGTTTGACTAAATTAACTCCCTCAATTCTGATCACTGATTATATAATATCCATATATTGTGGAGTATATATGAAAGATGGCCAATGTCACCCTGTGAGTAGAGCGGTTAGGGTTCTGTCGCAATGTAAATTTCAATTCATTTGTGGTGAGAGTACCAACTGAACATATGTCGACCTTTAAGGAGGAGGAGTTTTGGTCGAATGGTGTCATGAACTGACGTTTCAGAGGCCGGTGACTACACACCCGTATTTCGTTACACGTTGCAGACAATGCGTGTAAATAAATTAGTGTTGTATTATATTATTATGTAACGTTATTTTCACCTCTCCGAGCGCGTGCATAGGTCTCTTCTGCCTCGTAGTGAGCACCTCGTGTCATTAGTCAGATTCAGTAGGCTATTGTAGCGTAGATATATTCTATTTTGTATGAGAGCAATATATCTGTTAAGTAATCTGTGACATAGCTAAGAACCATCCAGATCAAATTAGCCTTCAAATAAAACAATGTATTGAGATCAGGCTATCCGTTTATGAGCTACGATGTCACTGACAAACATACAGACAAATATATACAGATAAATAGACAAAGGCTCATCAAACTTATAACGCTCCTCTTTTTACATCGGGTTTAAAAATCACTCACAGCGATATTAATGATCACCTATAAATAGGAACAGCAAAATTAGAATTAGAAACAAACAAAAACAAAATAAATTAAAACAAGGCGCTTCACTATCGAATTAATTAGAAAACCTAAA